TAAATGCCCAAGCCAAGCATGTGACTATTGGAGTCTTTACGAATTAAAGGAAGATAACCATCAACACTAAGATCACAAGATGAGACAGCCGAACTCAAATTAGTCTCACAAAGAGCAAGTAGGTCTGGTGAACTTTGCAAGAGATAAAATTCAACAGAAGAAAAGTTACTTTGAAGATCACGAATATTAGTGAATGATAGGTTTAGCGAACTTGGTGATGACTGTGGTTTTTTGTGTTTTATAGTTTTTGTTACTTTATTCATTTTTAGATTTGTTAAAGAGCTTGACTCGAAATATAGATAGTACTCAGTACACTGTTTTATAGCCCAAGCAATTGCCTCATTTCCATTAATAAACCCTAAGCCGTAACAAAAGGCTCCAATGTGGCCTTGGCAATGCACGCCAAAAGTACAAACAGGGACACCATTCATGCGCAATATGGTACTGTTAGAACTTATATTTTTCAGCTTGTTGATGGAATCAACCTCTCTGAGAGCTACCACAGAGTTCGGGAAACCTGACTACCAGCCGGCCTCAGAACCATAAAACTGAGTTTTAGAGCTGTACCCTCATTTGGAGATAATAGAATGAGTTGCCTAGTCATAAAAACAGAGACACAAGCAAAACCCATGTATCGAGTCAAGAAGATCCAGCGTTCAACATCCTAAATTGGAAACAATGTATTAAAAATACATCTACGCCAGCCTAATAGATGAAGAAGGGGTGCGAGGCTGGTCAACAGATAGAATCTGTTTACCCCTTAAGTCTTTGCCTAGGAGGCTTTTTACAAGACAGCAGCCGGATGCATGTAACATCTGCCCAAGATGAGTATTTTTATCGAGACACCATCTCTAGCCTTTAACCAAGAGCCCCAAGGCAGGGAGTGTTTTATGTCAGAGTTTGCATCTCCTAGCCTTTGCCTAAAAAAGCGTATCCTACAAGGCAGCAGAACATGAAGCAGATTGTAATGGGTTACATGTTACCAGTAGCAGGATAAACCTGACCTGACCTAATTTTTCACGCAAGAAATAAATTAATCTATTGACCAATCTCTTTAGTAAAAACTTTTAATACAAGATTGAACTTATAAGTTCAAACGTATAAGTTCAAACTATTTCATACTTGTGCAGATTTTTTTTGCGGTGGTTAAGTTTCTATTTTCTTTCATGTTTAAATTTTTTTTCTTTAATATTTAAAAATGGTTTCAAAAATAAAGCACGTTAAAATTGACGCAGTTGCGTCAAAAAACAAACTTCATCAAATTTTTTCATTTTTATGAGGAAATTGCGACAACACTTGATGAATTAAGTTTTGGAAAACCAAACATCACTTTGTCTAAGAAAAAACCAATGGGGGATTCTCGTGTTACAGGTGTGACTCCGGTACAAATATTTTTAAATAAAAAAGGGCCATAAAAAATTGCTTACTACAGACATGCAACTTACATATTGCAAATATTATAGTGGGAGATGTGTCTGATATAAAACACTTTTATAAAACAATTTTAAATACTTTTCTCTTAATAATATGTTTATTACATACGTAAAGGAATTATTTGCGTTACGCGTGGAATGCGTACAAAACTATAAATTTGAATTTTAATTTTGATTAAATATTTCTGCTAATCTGATAATATGAATACGCTAATTTAATATTATTATTAGTCGAGTTACGTCATTTTCTAGGCTTTTCTATTTTAAAGTAGTTAGTTTCTAGGCTTTTCTATACGCGTTTTTTTTTTTTAATTTTATTTACTAACAACGCGTATTACGGGTTGCTTACTGCTAGTTGGCTATGATTAGTTTAACGATTTTTTTTTATGTTTTTTTAACATAACTGAAATAAAGATAGCACTTTAGTTATATAGAGTAGCACTTTTGTTATATAGTTTTTTTTAAAGTTTCAACTTTTTAAGCTGTATTTTATCAGGGTACATAGTTTCATTGCTCTTCACAAGGCACCAATCATTAAAAGCCATTTCTGGAGATTGGGAAAATATTTCGGGAGCTTAGATGTCATAAATATAGTTTATTTGAAAATCAGATGACTTTGAGTCACTTGTTTTAAAAAATGACTTGCATTCCTTGAAAGCATTGACATGATAAATTTTTAGTATTCCCTGTGTTTTTTTGACTCCTAACCAAGGTTTTTTGTTGTCTATTTTACTAATAATTTCATTATTGCTAATATAGAGAATATTAGTAGCTGTCATTAATGGTTTGAAAACATTGATCCATAGGCGTTTATACACAAACTTTCTCATTCTTGCTCATACATTTTATTTGAACAAGAGACTTAAATCTTCCTTCAACACCATCTACAGCCTCTTTTCTATATGAAGTTGCAAAAAATTTCCACTCAAATGTTTTATTTTATTGCAAAGATAATTGGTAATTTCTTCATAAACTTATTTTTATATTCTGATGATAAATCATTGATGAAAAGAGTTTCAGTTTCATTATTACAGTTTTCAGACATAAGTATCTCAGACATAAGTATCTCCGACATAAGTATCTCAGACATCAGTATCTCAGACATAAGTATCTCAAACATAAGTATCTCATATAATGACCCAATAAAGCAGTAAACACTATCTTTGCCCTTGTCTCTAGTATCTGAACAGATGTTTTGCAATTATTGTTGTTGAAAACAGTACCAGTAAACAATTAAACAGTGTTCCTACTCCACAGTGCACTTTGTACTTCATTTGAATATTCACAAACATATGCTATTGTATATCCACCTGAAGAACTCTTTTCCCTGCAATCCTCTTGTCTTTCTTAAATTCAACTGCTTGAACTCTCTTTATACGAAGATGTCCCTGAAATTTAGATAAAGTAAATAGTAATTCCTCTATTACTTCTCCTACGCACCCATTTTTGAATTGTAATTGAAGACACCCAAAAGTAACTATTATAGCTGATGCCTATTGCTTTAAGTAATAAGCGAAAGTTCTCGTACAGTTTGCACGTTTCTTCTAAAAAAGTATATTTTTTGACCTAAGCTTACAAAATGTAAAGAAAGGTATTATCTCTCGTTGATTGAAAAATAGAGTAAGGTTCTCTCAAAAACATAGTCAAAAAATATTTTCTCACTTTTTTTCTCTTTCCATACTATAGAATCATTTAGTGGTCTTTTAATCAAGACATTTTTATTTTTATTATATATTAACCTAAACTTGAAACTATTAAAATTTACAAAGGCCTTACAACCAATAATTTATAGAACTATTTAATTCATCTTTTCAAGCTGATTCAAACTGAAATAACTTTCAAATACAACTATGGTTGTTTTCTTGTTCAGTTTATTAAAGAAATTGAGAATAATTTTTAAAAAAGTAATTTTTATCAATATAATATTCATGTTACATAATATTTATGATTTAGTTCAAATCCTTATAATTTATTTATCTTCTGATTTTTTAAATTTAATGATCTTATCTGTGTAATGTCACTCATATATCTTTAATTTTAAAACTAGGTTACGTGTGACCGAACTTTTTATAATTTTTTTTTTTAGTTATTTTACCACAATAATATAAAAATTTTTTTTCATTTTGTTTCTTTAATACTTTTTGCTTATAACTAAAAACATTTTCAAAAAAAGCATTCTAGTTTGCTCACAAATCAAACTTTTGATTGTTTTTTGTTACGTGTGAGACATCACAAAAAAGGTATTTACTAAAATGTAATATATATGTTTAAATATTTTTTCAAAGATATTTTGTGTTATTTTGTTTAAATTATATTAAAAGAGTTATTTTGTTTAAATTATATTAAAATAGTTATGGAAATGCTGTTATGTAATTATAATAATATCAAATATTTATTTATTATGATAAATGGAAAATTATACGCTGACATCAAAAATTGAAAATTTTGAAATTGAAGTAACTGAAGAAATTATCAATATTTTACTACTAAATGTATTTTAAAATGTAAATTTAATTGTAAAGTATGCAAAAAAAAATCGTAAAAAAGGGTGTTAGAAAAATTAGCTCTCTGGTTTCCAGGGCCAACGACACCGGGGAGGGGGGCACGTGCCCCTTCCCTCTTTTTCTAAAGGACCTTTTTTTTTATAAGAAAAATCTTGATATAGAGGACTTTTATCACAAATTGATAATTGTGCCCTCCCCCCCTCCCACATCAAAACCCGTGTCGTCGACCCTGGTTTCACTAATTTGAAAATCGCCCCAATATATGTTAAAGTAAAACATAATAATAATAAAAAAACATTCTTTAAAAGTCTAGTCGTTAATTAATTAATAATTTGTTTCATAATAGTTCATATGTAACATATTACTAATGCTCTAATGTTAAAATTAATGTATCTAAGTTGTTAAAAAATCTGTCTAATTGACAATTAAATCTTTAATTTGCCTTTTTTTGCTTCAAATCAAATTCAGATTCTGGGGAAAGTGAAATAGGATAGTTTACGTAATTTTAAATTGATGTAAAGCGCTTGATTTCCAAAATTTCCAATAGCGATTAATAGCTCAAATTATTGAAATCGCTCAAAGCGATTCTTCCCAAGTTTCAAAAACTTTCCTAAAAAATGTTTTGCTTTTGCCCGTGATTACGTTATTAAAAATATTTTAGATATTTTATTAGAATTTTAAAAGAAAAAAAAATATTATTTCTATAGAAGTTGCTATAAAAATTTTGTATTGCTATAAGATAAATGTAAAGAAAAAAGTCTTTTTATACCAATTTCTATTAAAATTAATAAATTTCATAGAAAAATTATTTGATAACCAAAACTATTTAAAAACTCTTATATATCATGGTTGTCAAAACTGGTAATTTTTTGTTCCAAAATCCTATAGAACTTTTTATAAAACCATATAGAACTTTTAAAAGAGGGTATGCTGATAATAAAAATTACCCTGATATAGTTAATAAGATTATCTATAAGTATATGATGTTCAATTAACAGCACAGTATGTTTTGTTTTAAGGATTCTTTCGAGAAACATTTAGAAACTAAAAATAAACGTAAGAATTTATCTTAAAATAATTTTTTTTTAGCTCAAAATTTCCTTCGCCATAAAACATTGACAGTTCTCTTGATATTAATATTTACTTATAATTTACATTATAACCATCGCAAAATGGCAAAAAAAGATATACCAAAAAAACATAATCAAATAGGTTTTAAGCCAACCCAGCTTCTAAGTCGCTCAAATATAAGAAATGAGATAGTAGTGTGAGGGCCTATTCGTACCCAATTTGGTACTAATCCTTTATAAAAACCTAAAAGTCCTTCAGTATTTAGAATTTTTACAAAACATGAATATGCCGACGTATAAACCAAGTTTTTGTTTCTTACAATTTTTTCGTTCATGATGCGGGTTTTTATTACATCAACAGGGCTGGTTACTAATGCTGTGATCAGCCCGGCAGTAACAGATGCTATTAAATGCAATTTGAAGCCTTCTTCCATGAAATTATTTCTCAATAAAATAGATTTGCTATGATCATAAGAGGGTATTTGAGAAGCGGTAAGTATAGCAGCTCGTAAAACTGTAGGTCCAACGCCTCTCCACATCCCTAAAATGCCTTCATTAGTTAATATATCTTGGAAAGCTGCAAACGTGTGGCGATAGCGGGCACACTCACCTAAAACAAAATAACCAATCATGATGTTTCATTTGCAATATTAGCTACTAAACTTACATGGCCTAATATTTTTTTATTTATATTTAAAAAAAATTACTCTGAGAGGTATAATCCATTCTTTCAGATATAACAAATTTATACTGGTTTCACTAAAAGTCTTATTTACTTTTATTTATTTATATATATTTTAATTATATTTAGTTTTTATTAGTGAGATTTTTTTTTAATTAATTTTTTGTTTTAGGTGCCCCAAGAAGACCTAACGGTCTTGTCACGGGCACCTAGTTTTTCGACTATTTAATGTCTAATTAGATCAAAACTTTTTTTATTTTTAGAACTAGTTAGTTTCTTTGTTAACAACAAGCGATAGTTATAAGCCTGAAGAGAGGGTTGGGGTATAGGGAGAAATTATTTCCGAAAAATTCCTATTCTTATTGTTTATCCTTGACTGCGAGTTCTTTTCTCGTATAAATGGATTTCTCAGTTTTGCATTTTAAAAGAGTTCTTTTCTCGTATAAATGGATTAGACTTATAATACAGTAAAAAGAAAATAAAAAATTAAAAGAAATATAATAGAACACAAGAAACAATACATATAATAATAATGATAGAATCATAAAAGAATATTTTGTTAATACAGAAAATATAATTAAAGACTTTATAAATTAAATGGATTAACATTCTTATATTTGAGTAGAAAAAATTGAAGAAAAGAAAATGAATACAAAAAAAATTAAAAAACTTTTAAATATATGAACTTATTTATATCGAAACTCAATAAATTTATTCTCTTTCATCATAATAATAATAATTCAAATGCTGTTGAGATAGAACACCAGGCAATATCTATGACAGCAGACACAATAGTTGTCTAAAAATTTTATTGCAACCTGTTTTTTTTGTTCAATATTATCTGCAAGTCAATCAGTTTGGATTTAAACTCTTTGACTGATGTAGACTCCACTACCGATTCCAGTAAATTATTTCAACCAAAGACAACCCTGTTTGTAAAGAAGTGTTGTCTACTTAAACAATTTTTAACCCACTCTGATCCAACAAGATGTTTATAACCTCTATATATATATATATATATATATATATATATATATATATATATATATATATATATATATATATATATATATATATATATATATATATATATATACACATATATATATTTATAATTGTATACTTATAAAGTTAAATGTATACTTAAATGGTGTTTAAAGTTATTATTTTATTACTATTTGTAAATATCCAAGAAAATTTATCTTCTGAATATCCTACAAGCATTTGTTTTTAAAAGTTACGTTCTAAATGTATTTTAAATGTCTTTTAAACGTCTTTTAAACATTCTTACGTAAAAAACGTTTAAAAAACGTTTAAAAGACAAAGAACGTAACTTTTAAAAACAAATGCCCGTTGGGTATATATACGATTGAATGATTATCTGCACATTTCATAATGCTTTTGTACTTATTTAAGTGAAATATAAATTTATTTTTGTGAAAATTATGTTTAAATACTCTGCTTTGGTCAGTTTTATGGTATTTCTTACTTCTAATTATTTATTTTGTTTGTCAATATTTCATCTTTACATAAGCTGATTTTATTATATTTTATTACATATAAAATGAAAACTTTTCTTCTTGAGAATGTTTTAATGACAATGATGAGGATTCTTAAAAGTAAACTAAGTTTTTTAATTTTAGATATGCTTTGATGATGTTTGATGTCTATATTCATATATATGTATACATACATATATATATATATATATATATATATATATATATATATATATATATATATATATATATATACAATGTTTACAATGTTTAGACCTGGACAACAATGCCTAATTTATAAGTTCTTGAAGGATGTTCCTCCATATATCTTTTACATTAGTGAATAAACCCTGTAACCAATACCATGATGGATTTTAGAAAATTTTTCTTTTTATGATAATGTGCTCTCGGTGCTTTTTGATATTTAATTATGTAAATATTTTAATTTTTGATCACAATCAGTAAAGTAGAATAGTTTTTCATCAGATGTAACGACTTTTTTCCAGTTTTTCAGTTTTTTTGATTTTGTAAACCTCTCGATTGCTCAAGGTGATAATGCACGTAAACATCCTTTTGAAACTTTTTTTTAAATTGAACATTTATCAATGTAACATTTAATTGACTTTCACGATATCTTAAACTTTTCTAGATAAATCAGAAATAATTGGTGGTTTGTCTTTTTATTAATAAGTTTTTCATCTGAAAAAGTTAACATAAATTAAGCTTTAATGGTCAATGCCAACGTTTAACTTTTTTGCCATTTAAATCATCTTTTCTTTTAATTCTCACCACGTTATTTTCAACTCTACTAATGGTGGTTATTAAAACTTTGATTGATTCCTTTTCTAAAAATTTTTTAATTTTTAGAAAAGGAATCAATCAAATCCCTTCATTCTATACAAATATCCAAGTTGTACCAACAATAAAATACTTTCTTTAGTATTATTTTGATTTTTTTTTTTTTGTTGTCAAAATGCTTTGTTTACATAAATCTTTTTTTTTTTTCGCTAACTACTTTAAATATGTGATTGAATTATAAATAATATCGTTAAATATTGTTTAAACAAAAAGTAATCAAGTTTCAAAAGTGTTTCCATTTTAATGTCACAAGACTATATTATATATATATATATATATATATATATATATATATATATATATATATATATATATATATATATATATATATATATATATATATATATATATATATATATATATATATATATATATATATATATATATATATATATATATATATATAATAATATCTATTATAAAATATTTACATCATTTTTGCGTTTATATTTGTTTATATTTAGATAAAAAAGCACTCAAAAGTGTAAGAGTTAAAATGTTAGTTATGAGTATTATAGTTAATCATTTTTTCATTATTTTTAGTAAGTTCATTATTTATATTTAGAACAAAAAGAAAATAAAAATATTTTTTTTCAAAATTATAAGACTTTTTATACTATATATACTTAAATATATTTATAATATATATACTTAAATATATTTTATTATAGTTTATCAAGGCAGATATTCTGCACAAAAAAAAAAAAAAAAAAAAAAAAAAAAAAAAAAAAAAAAAAAGGATCCAAGATAGGTATTGTACTTTGGTTTTTAACAATTTTAACTTAAGCATAAACAAAAAAAAAATATTTTTTTAAAAATGATAAAAGGTTTTTCAATAACTATATATTTATTTTATTAGTGATGACAATGGACCAGATAGGTAAAAATTATTTCATTTATAAATTTTTAATTTTCTGTTATATTATAGTTATGTTTTATTTTTTTTTTTAGCTCTCTGAAGGTTAGACCTAAGTAAGTATCTTTATTATTAAATTTTAAATTTGATTTTTGAAATGGTTTTATATTAAATAAAAATAATAATTTGGGTTTTATTGTTAAATTTATTGAAAATTTGGGTTTTATTGTTAAATTGTTGAGTTATTTTGTTAGTAAATTTAGTAATTAATTATTGGAATTTGATTTTAAAGAAGTTGTAAATATTTTTATTTATTTAACAAAAATGGCGCCAACAATGGCATTAACAGGAAACTCGGTTATCACCATTACAATAAAAAACAAACTGAGATTGGTTATATTCCACTTCAAAACCTCTATTTGTATCATACTTCAATTTAAGTTTTATTTCTTGTAGGTATTTATTTATTGCTCAAAAGAGTTTTTAACTTTATCCAGAGTTGTTTGTTGCTTGATCTTAGTTAAATCACTCATATTGAGTAACAACTTTAAGGTAACCATTGCACATAATGAGTGTTTTTTATAATTTATTACTTTATTAAATATTTAAATCTTTCTTTACTCAGAAACTTTTTTTTTTAGATTTAGAGTTGACTTGAAATGGAAAAGAAAGACTGTATTTTTGTGTATTTGGATTGATTTACTTATATTTATTATTTAACCAATATATATTACTTGAAGGTAAGTTTTCAAGTATATCTATATTGTAAATGTATATAGGAATATGTAATATATTTATATTATTATTTGCTTGTATATACTTTATCAAAATTGTTAATAATTTTTTAGAAAGTGTTTATTATTTTACTAATTTTTTATTTATTTGTCTATTTGCTGTTGAAGTGAAATGTAAATCACGGAAATTTTAATATTTTTAATGTAAATCAAAGAAAATTTTTTTCAGAAAATATTTTCAAAAACATGCCATTGATTTTATATATATAAGATTTGCTAGAAATAATTTAAATTAACTAGCTGAGTTGCCTTTCCGTTGTTTAACAGAAAAAACATGTTTAAATTTAATGGAAGTATCCATTTATTTACGGAAAAGTTCCGACAGCTACCAATGACTAAACTACCCAATGTTTAACGGAAAAAACCCATTGTATTTTAACGGAAAAAATCTGTCTGTTAACAGAAACTTCCGTTTACATACGATGGGTTTTTCCGTAAAATAACGAGTAGTTTGGTCATCGGCAGCTGCCGGAACTTTTCTGTAAAAAACGCACTAGTTTTTTAACAGCGTATACATAGAATCAAAAAGAAATTTTCTTTTTAAAAATTAAAAGTGTGTTAAAAAAAGATTTAGAAGTTTTGATGACCTAAAATCATCAATGTTCATAGAATTTATTTGTAGACTACAAGAACTTTTATCACAGAGTCATTTTCAAATCTGTTGAAAACCACTGAATTCACTGCAGCAAAATGTAGATAATAATGTAAATAGATTATACTGTTAAGCTGTTATATAAAATACTACTAGAGATTTTGATGATGTTTTCAAAAAAGCCAAAAAATTTGTAGTTTGTGCTCATAACAAGTTAAAAATAGAAAAAGTTTGAAAAAATTTACACAAATCAAAACTGATGTATGTTAAGAAAAGAACAACATACTTGGAAATTATGCAGCAGATAGATGTCACATTAAGTTCATAATATCATCATGGACACAATTATAAAAAAAAGTTAAAGCTGTTTTTCCACAAATATTGCCTCCCTATATCTAAAGAACTTTTAAAATATTAAACAAACTGTTTATTAGATCAGCACAGAATTTTTCATTGTAGTACTAACACTTGGAGAACTACCATCCAAGTAGTATTAACAATAGGAGAATTACCAAGGTTTACAAATTCCTCCTACTTGTATGCACAATTAAAATAAACCAGAGTTTTTCTTTTTCTAGGTAAATTGCCCTAAACTCTACTAAAGAGTCTCATCTGCAAATAATGATTAATAATAAATTATAGATCATGTAGCCAAAATAGCACTCAGCATTGAGCCAGAATAACACTCGAAAATTGCATATAATTTAATTGTCATTGGTAAATCCTATTAAATTAATTTATAATTTGAATGATTCTTAATATTTAGTCTCAATAAAATCAATTGTATTTGCAATTTATTGTTTTAGACTTGTTATTAGTGTATATTGTAATTTGTAAAGTGATATGTTATATTGGAGACCTCATTCCCCAGGTTTGGTCTGCAAATTTGCACAAAATGTACAAAAACAATAAAAGTCATGAAGATAAACTTTATATTTATTTTTCTGCTTAGTCACCCTAGCCCACCCCTGAAAGTATGCTATAGGATTTTAGAATGAGAAGTCAGTTTTGACACCAATTAAATAGATAAAAATAAGTTTAAAAAATGTTCATATCATTTTTTGTGGCTATGAATATTCAATATAAAAATTAAGTTTTACGACAATATAATATAAAACAGTTTATGAGTAAAAATTTAGAGTGATCAAAAATCTTTAATATAAATCAGTTACCAGGTTTTAGCTTTTCTTGAGCTTGCATTCTTATCTTCACTAAATCAGTTGGATTTGCAATTGCACTGCCTATCGCACCCACTATTGCTCCTGCTATTACTTTTTTCCATAATGGTGCATATATAGAATTAGCACCTAGCTTACTTTTAACTGGTTCGTATGCACCTAATCTAAATGTACTATAAATACTTTCTCGCATGATTGATGCAGTAACCCTACAAAAAATTAACTAATTAAAATGATGCAGATAAGAGGGAGTAAGATATAATTAATAAGAAAGTAAAAATATTTTGAATAATAAGTGAGAGAGTGAAACAGCTTCAGAAATTTAAAATCATCATTAAATTTAATTGATCATTAAATTTAATTGATAAAGGAGAGATCAATTTTGGAAAACTGTAAAATGTTAAATAAATGTTAAATATTCACCCTTTGTACAAACCACCAAAGCCTTCATTTTTAAAAATATATATTGCACTCCTAATAAAACCATTGTATTTTCTTTTCGAAAAAATATTTTTATTTTCAGAAAGTTGGTTGTCTAATTGGAGACGAATTTTAATAACATCAATAGGATTGGTAACTAAATGTAAAGAAATGGTAACTAAATATAAGAGTAATAAAGTAATAAAGTATTGGTAACTAAATACTAAATATTTGCACCAGAATATAAAAAAATAAATATAAAAAAAAACAACCTGAAAAAAAAAAATATATATTTTTTACATATATACCCTTAATTTTCTATATTATCCTTGTTATCTTTAATATACCATTTTCAATTAAAAAAAAAAAAATTAAATCTTATCATTATATGTTAATTATAAACTTGTGAACTAAATAGTAAGTTTCTTATAAATAAAATAGAAATAAAAATGATTTAGCTGGTACATATGTTTTTAATATTCCATTGTACAAACATACTTAAAAGTCTAACATTTTGACTTTTAAACAAGTGCTAATATTTTATCAAAGTCTTTTTAATCAAATAACTTTTAAAGCTTATCAAAATTATTATTTAATACAAGTTTGTGAAGACATTATATCGATGGTTAAGAGCACAAAGAGAATATGTCCAACAATTTACGGTTTTGAGTTATTGCGCTCGCCATTCAGTAAGTGATAAGGGTACTATGGAACAAATATTAAGCTTCAACAGTCAACCAATCGGAAGATGCATTTGGTTAAAATCATGACAATAAATAAATATCATGAATTATTGTATGTATTCAAACTTTCAAATTCAGATTTCTCAAAACAATGGTTAGTGGACATATTCCCTTTGTGCTCTTAACCATCAATATATATATATATATATATATATATATATATATATATATATATATATATATATATATATATATATATATATATATATATATATATATATATATATATATATATATATATTCGATTACAATTATTTAACTCTGGCTGAGATAAATAAAAACATTTTGATAGCATCATAGCTTTGGATATCTGAAAAAACAACAACACTCATAAAATAAATAGTGATTCGAAAAACTTGAATCATTTTTTTCCAATCAAATCTTGAATCTAAGCGACACTTGATTTGCAAATTGAATCAATTTGCAAGGTACTAATATATATATATATATATATATATATATATATATATATATATATATATATATATATATATATATATATATATATATATACTATATATATATATATATATATATATATATATATATATATATATATATATATATATTAGTGATATACCGATTAATCGGCATCAGCTTAATCCGCCACTTTTTGTACAATCGGAATCGGTATTGCCATCAGCCTTTTTTTACTGATTTTCCAACCGATGGCATTTTAATATTTTTATCGTGCATTATTATAATAATTAAATAATAAATAAACTAAACTTTATGCATTACTTAGAACTTTTTGGATAAATTTTTATTGTGACTTTGTTTACAGGCAAAAGCTTTAAAAGTAACCTATTTAAGCAATATTATCTATATTTTTTAAATTCTTTTTTACTCCCAACAAGGCTGCAAGCAAACACTATCAAGTTGGGAGTTGCTAGAAAAAAAGAGTAGAGTTATAGATCAAGGAAACAGTTCACAGAAAAGTTAAAGGTTGTATGAGTCAGGAAAACATGAAAATAGAACAGATATCTGAAGGGTTAAAGTGCTGGGAAATAAGCTAGACAAATAAAAGTTTTTGGAACATGAAGAGACAGATACAGTAAAAGAATGAGACTTTGATGAATGATAAGTCAAGCGAGAATGAGTCAGTCTTGGTTGATGGAACTACAGATGAAAGCTCCTTTGAGCAGCAACCATGATAGTATTTGTAGAAAAGAGAAAGAGATACAACTTTACGATGATGGGAAAGAGGCTCAAGTTTAGCTGATGGACAGGTTCAATTCTTTTTAATAATTAGTTAATTAATTGGTATCAGCATCGGTATTCGCCATTTTCCATCCATAGGCATGGGCCAAAAAAGTGATATCGGTACATCACTTAAACCAAACATAAACAAACATAAACCAAAATTGTATTTTAAACTATAATCAATAAACAAAAGTGAATCAACCATGTTAATTTAACTTGTTAGACAAGTTAAATTAACATGAATAATTCACTTTTTTTTTTCACAGACCGGAGAGCTGTGAAAAGTCGTATAGGAGATGTTCAGAAACAATTTAATTTCTAAACATGTTCAGAAGTGAACATGTTTAGAAATTAAAGAAAACTTAAGCAGATATCGATTCAATTTTGCACAGAACAATTTCTCATCAAACTGGTGCAATTAAAACAATCTACTTTATCAGAAAATCTTCTCTGACAGTAAAACTCCTACGGTTATGATGGAGGTAGAACAAATTGGGGTTATGCAATGAACTACCTTAAATGCACACACTTTTAACAAAATATTTTTTGAAACCTTCATATCATAATATTTTGTTCAATATTCTAAGATCTCTGATTATTTTCTTGAAAAGCAGTGTGAGCAACAAGAGTTACCTTGGTAACTATTGTTACTCAAACTAAGGTAACTTTATTTCCAATATTTATTCTGATCTTGATTATTTTAATATCATTTATTTGAAAAACCTTTCACTAGAACATTCTTTATGTTTAGTATTAAATTATTTTGTTTTAAAGAAAAAAATAATTTCAGCTGTGTTTTGATAAAATGTCAAATTTTTTTTTGACATTTTATCAAAATACAGCGCCTGTAATAGAGTCAGCAAAATGTAAAAAAGCAAACCTCACATTGTTGAAAAATAAAAATGATTTGAGATGTCCTTAAAACACCTGGTGCAATTGACCTCAGACTACATGTGCATAAAAAAATAAATTATAAGGAGCTTATGGACTGTTTAGCAGATCCTAAACTTTCAATTTCATATGAAAGTGTTATGAAGATTAATGGTTTATGAAATACTGTTATTGAAAACACATCAATAAATAATAGTGCACTTTGCAATTGGAAATCTAATGGGAAATCCTAATCTTGTGGAATCCCATATCTTGCATTTCAAAATAAATAAAATGCTAAAGACGATCACGATACAATATACAAAATATTTTACATTAAGATATACATGTACATACTTGGAAACCATATATCAAATCCATTGCAAAATTAGCATCTGCTAAGGGGTTGTCCATAGATTACGTCACGCTTTAAGGAGGAGGGGGTGGTAGTTTTGTGACGACTCATACAAAACTTGTTAAGTATTACGATTTTGTGACAAGGGGGAGTGGGGAAGGTCAAAATCTGTCAAAAAATGCGTGACGTAATTTATGGACGATCCCTAAGGTTGTATCTCTTTATTGTGCTCGATTTTTGTTCAAATATGGGCACTCATTCATGTAATCAACTAGAAATTTAAGTTACCATAACATAGAGTGCTTTTAATTTTTTTAGATATGCCTACATCTATGGTAACATTTATGCTAGTTCACAGACTTATTGGAGCAGCCTTTTAATTGCATTAAAGTTTGTTCTGTGAATTTAGGTTACAGTTACAGGAAGAAAAAAAGCAATTGTGACCTTTGATCTGAAAATTTATTCAAAATGGGCACAGCTATGACAGACTAATTAGATTAAAGGCAGTTTTATTTTTTGACTTAGGGAACGAGATGTTATGCTTTTAAAAATTATTGGACAATACATTAATGGAAACAAACTCAATCAGATATTGATAAAAGTATGTGTTTACAGCCTCACCACCCCTAGACATACTTAAAATGTCCTTGAAAAGAAACATTTGAAACATAGTATGTTTTCATACTTTTCATGGTATTCATGATTTTATAACTTTAAACAAATGGTATTCATGGTTTTTTTTTTATCTTTAAACAAATTGTAATTAGATAGCTTCTTGCATCCTAAACCAGAAATTGACAATGAAATGAAAAAGAACCTCCACAATAGCTGATAAGGAATCTGCACAAGGAAACTTTGAACAATACCACTATACTTCCATTCAAATATCATTTTAGAAAATTTTTACCCTTGACTTATAAAAAATGTATAGAAATGTTTACATAAAAAGTTTCTCCATCTGATATGTATCAGGTATTCCTTTTTGCGATATTAGTTCTGATAATGTCTTAGAACAGGAAAACAAAATTTTTAAGGAAGTGTAATCAATTTTACACAAAATTCAACATGCCTAATTTGTTTTTTTTCTTATTGATCCTGCTTTAAATACCATAGTTAAATCTTTAAAAAAATAACAACAATACTGGATCATAATATTATAAACAACACAACTAATTTCAGCAAATTTAAAAAAGTTTTTTTAAATTTGATGAAATTAGTAGTGTTGATACATTTGGCGTTTACTTCAACTAAAGTCAGACAGTTTTTAATCTTGTGTCAAAAGCCATTTTATTAAAATTAGAAGAAGATAAACTAGTTTATCACAAAAGATTAGAAAAAAGTGTTCTGCTTTTTTGTTAATGTAAAGATTTGAAGTAAGAAGAAAAATTTGCATGGTTGCCAATAAAGGAGCAAAATTTAAAAATATTCCAAAATCAAGTTTAATTTACGAAAATAATATAAATAAGAATGTATTAACATAATTTAACTAAAAGAGTGACATTATTATCTCATTTTTTACTCAGATGATGAATTTAGAAAAATCACCCAAAGCTCGATTTGGAAATCAGTATTGGTAGACGAGTTATCACTGTACCAAAATCAATGTTTAGTCAAGAAAATCAACCATTGCTTACCTTTAGTAAAGAAAAAGTCCTGCATTAAGATTTGTGTAAAAGATCTTCAATTTGTGTAAAAGATCTTTAATCTTTAGATTGAAACACAAGAAGAATCTCTTTGAAATACATCAACTATAATTATTAATAGCTTGGCCTTACTCAATAATAATATTTGATTAAAGCTGATGAGTTAAAGATTAAACTGACTGACCTAAAACTGACAAAGAGTAACCGTGTAAGTCTTACCTTGATTGTGCATATTAAATTTTGCATTTCAAATTGCATTTGAAACAGTATTAATCATATCCATTTCATTATTCAGCATCTTACTGCAATATTATCTATAGTTATTTTTTAAATATATTATGTTAAAGCCAAATTAATTCCCATTTATAAAACCCATAATTTTCCCAATAAATGTTAGAAAAATATTTAGGTAGGGAAATTTATAACTTTTTTAAAATTTAGATGCTAAGACATATGCGACTTGTCTTATTTATTTAATTCAATTCTTTTTAACATCAGAATACATAACCTACATTTACAAAATATTAATAATACTTTGATACTTGCAAAGTCTAAACCAATGGGTTTGGATTATTTTAAGTTGACAATTGTTATTCAGAAAAAATATATATAGAGAATTTGCATTTGCAAAAAAAAAAAAAATTAAACAAAAAAAAAAACATTTCTAATCTTTTAAAATTTAAGAAACTTAAAAATTTTAAAATTTAAGAAACTGTTATTCACACTGCTTTTCAAAACAATCAAAAAGTTATATGTTAACACACTCTCATAGCAATGCTAAGTGAGAAATTAGTAAACAATTAGAATCACTGATTTCTAATTAACAATATTAACAATCAGTTTGAACTTGGC